TTCAGAGGCGCATGCTTTTCTAAGGCGTCAATTTTATACTAACAATGGATATTTATTTAAGTTAATCTAGTCATTTTAAAGGTTTGGCATTATTGTAAAAATAAAATGCATTTATATTATATTTTTTTATATTTTAAGTAATTTTAAACTTAAATCACTAGACCTCTATGAAAAATTAACAAAAATCAACAGTCTTCGCAGGCGCCTCTGCGACGTAGGTTATCTTTCTCGGGTTAAAATAGAACAACATTTAACAAATGTAATTGTTGTGAAATTCCCCAATCGGGGCAAGAACCCTCACATTTCGGGAAACTCTTCCGTTGTATTGTGGTCAGAGATTGGAGAGGTTCCGAAAATAACCGTATTAAACTGTTATATCCAAAAAGATTGACCTTGGAGATGACAAATTTATTCAATGTATAAGTCGTTTATTTTGAAAGTGGCCCAAGTTTATATTCCAAAAACATCGAGCTAACTATCTTAATATTTACATTTCTACGTTATATATAATTTGATTTCAGCAAAGCTTCTAGAACGCAATAACCCTCAGAAACACAAAAAACATCATATTATCATGTTATCAGTTACCAATATTTTTAAATTTATTAAAACGCAAAATCCTTAAATAGTTGGATTTTAAAATAAACGGACTTAGGCCATTTTCAAAATAAACGGCTCAAATGTAACAGGCGGATTCAACCTCGTATTTGCCACAGATCTACGGTAAATCGTCGCATAAGAAGATTAAACATAATAAAGCAATTACTGAACGATGCATAGCTAATGTACAAAGTACATAAAAATAAAATTACGGAGCCTCGTTGACAAAGGATAATGCGTTCTAAATTAAGGAGCGGAATGGAGCAGGCATGTTACGAATCAGAGCCGACCTTCGAATATGCTATTGTTTGGCTTGGAATTATTCGGCAAGGTAGCTGCATAGCCGGACAGGTGGTCGACGTCCACTTTGAAAACATGGGTACGTAAAACGCTCAATATCCGTTTTACGATTATTCCGGTCCACTTTGAATCATCCACAGGGTTACTGCAAACGGAAAAGGTACAATAGTCAAACGAATTGCGTACGTAATATGTAACAATTTACACATACACAGACATATTGGTATATATATATGTATAATAAATTCTTCAGAAATGATCATTTCGAATCTAATCGTTAAAGCTTCTGTTAAATTTAGCAGGATCATAAACACCCAGTCAACACAGTCATTCGGTGACTTTCAATAACCAAGGTCACGACAGACTCGACCGTCGCTTCAGATTTAAAAACCTGAAAAAATCACACGTCGACTGAAAATTAACTATACAACTCCGGCACAAAATGTACCCAGCTACCGCGTCAGATTGTAAAGGGTTAATAATGAACTTCGGTGCTCTGGGTCGAGGTCGACCCAGCCACCGCGTCAGTTTTAAACCACTGGACATCGCGCCATCGTTGAAATTGGACTTCGATGCTCCGGGTCAACGCAAACCCGGCCACCGCATTAGACATAAAAATCCCGACGAAACTCCTGCCGAGAACAATTGCAAATTTACCTGTCCGTACGTTTCTCTTCCGTCGAGTTCGTGCCGATGTCGGGGAACCGGACCAAATCGAGTCCGTCGACGATCGGGATGACGTCGTCGGCAAGCAACAGATCCAGAGTGACGAGGGCGCGTTCCTGCACGCATTTCCGATACTTCTCGAAAAAATCGTCCTGGCCGACGTTTCTCCAGGACTGATAGGGGCAGTCCCTGATCACGGCGCTCAAGCTGTGATACCATCTCGTTTTCCCGTCGACGTCGGCATGCCCAAGCGCGATCGGCACGAGCGCGAACACATAGAACGCGCGCGGGTGCATCCACATCGGGAGGAGCATGCTTCCTCTGATCGCGGATCCTCGAAGGGGAGTCGAAATTCGTTCGATCGGATTAACGGCCTCGAATTCTTGCCGAGTCACGACAGGTGTGCTTGACGGTGAACATGTGTCAGCGTTGCTTTTTGTTCGGATGCACTCGACGGTTCCATTAATGAACCTTGTGCTAAGGACCGTGATAAGCCGATTGCGGGTCTTTATGCGAGATGAAAGTTTTCCAGGATGATCGTGAGAAATAGAAATTGGATAAAAAGAAACCGTCACTTCTGATCATTTGAATAAACTGAGAACAGTTTAACCGTATTACGGAATTCTTATATCTTCACGATTTTGTATTTCTCAGGTACACATTTTTATCGTAAATGCATATAAAATCCGCAGCCTAGCGACAAGTGTCTTCAAATTCACCGAACATGTGGCATCGACGATTCTTGATTTTCTTGCAACGCTGTTCTACACTGTGACGATCGGCAGAGCTCGCGTATCAAGTTGCAAAACACTAACGCGCCCAGTCGGAGGACTTCTTTCCCGCGTCGGTCGAGATGTACTGTAAACCATTGGGCCTTACTAGTTGAAGATTTATACGTACAGGAAATAGGCTAGGACGCCGGTTGGACGGTCATTACGATTCATCGAACGGCGACAAGGCAGCGGTCAAAAGGCGGCGCTTTTTATGCTCTAACAACCCTGGACTGCAATCATCAGCGAGCCGCAGGGCTGCATGACGACGCGATTCTGACTGCGATTGACCAGTGTGGCTGTGCCAGCTACATACCTGATAAAATAAACTGCTAACGAAATCCAATTAGTGTGTTAATTACCGATTTCTCTTTCTTCATTTTCGTATTTTCTTCAAAATCTTTTTATGTAAAGAAATGACAGTATCGTCCGAGTATTTTCAGCCAGTAGAAACTTTTTACGCGATCGAACACGTAAAATATATCTGCAAACGTAAACCTCGCGCGTGGGATTTAGTTAACATATTCTATAATTCTTGCAGCGCTGCCATATGAAATCACGGTTTTTCTTTTATTTACCTTTATCCCTTTATCCCGAAACTATTTCTCTGTTACTCTTCAGAATTTATTATTAATATTATTATATATTAAAATGCTTCATACATCTAGAAATCTATATATACAATATTTGATGCAATTACACTTCATCCTCTTAACCTTAATCTTTACGTTTAAGGCTTCGTTGAAAAAATACCAAGAAAATATAATTAAAAATCCTTTGAAACTTATAAAAGGTTTTTTTTAGAAATAAATAAGAAGATCCGAAGTAAATTTCATAACATGATTTCCATGGACTTTAAGTTCTTGAGAAAAATTCCCGAAGTCCCTTCGACAAATTGACCTCAAGGAAATACTATAATTTTCTTTTCAAACGGTTCCCAGCAGGCGCACGTTGCTCTTCCTGCTCGTAAATGAACAGTTCAAGGTAACAATTGCGGACTACAAATTTATACTCCACCACAAATTACAGTACGCGATCCGTCATGTCACAGATCTGCAAGTTTGCGGTACATCTACGAGGAATCAGCGTCGCCACACATGCGCGCATACACATACCAGAAGAGGGAGAAGGAGAGAAGGATTTACTAGTTCACATCCTGAAACACGAAATCGTTGCTCTTTTTAATAAATCAATAATTCAAAACTTTATTATTGATACTATAATAATATAACAACGCAGTTTCGTCGATCACGATGTATGAAATAATTCATAATTGCCGATTAAAATGGAACGTTAGTGGCTAAAGAAGCATCTATAAGCGAAGTAATAAAATTTCTTGAATAGTAACTGTACGCTATCCTCGTTTGCGAACTGAATATTACATGTTGGGACTGAAATCAGTAACAATTTAATTAATTCAATGTGTAATGTTCAGAACAAGGCATAATGCAAATAATCATACAGTAAAACTTATGTTTCATGAATAAAACATAATCGCATAAATCTGACAATGTCATGTCTAACAGTTAACAGTCTATACTGTGATGAGACGAGTCCAACACTTCTCTTGTTACCTTATTTAAAGTACCTTCCCCATAAGACTGTATACATATTGTATAGTGTTTAAACTGTGCTGTCCGATATCAACTTTGGAAGCTAACATACTTCCCTATTCTATCACCACTGATAAGCAGTGTAAACTGCTTAGCTTACTCTGTTCACGCAGCATGATACATTCAAGCATGTATCGCGAAGCATTTAAAGGACACAATTGTAAGACAGCATTAATTTTCAAGCAATTAAAGGATCACGATTTAAAACAATTAAAAATAGATCTAAAATGTAAATACGAAGGGCAGTATAGTTGTTCGATGATCCTCCAATTATTTCGTACAATGTATAACATCATTAAAATTACTAACTGATGAGTCTGACTAACTTCCAGACGAATGATGCGTCAACTCCACTGGACAAACTCGCAATAGCCCGATACATTTCCCTAGAACTCTATAGTTTTATCCTAACATACTCTCATATAGAAGATCGCTATATATGTCAAACTATCGAAAATATTAAATATTAATAAAAAAATAAACAAGAGACTGTTTCTTTTTCAACGCTCGGCTCAGCCTGTTCCTCAAAGCTCTCCACTTAATTTCTTAAAAACGTGTCAGTCTTTCAACATACGTTTGGACCAAAAATATGTAACAACTGGCTTATGTTTTACAAACATACGAATTGTAGCTACATATAGAGTAATTGTCCTCCGGTATGGTATCACGTTCCTCGTGACTACTGCCTTCGGCAGCCTTCATACTCTTTAAACGATATTTGTTCCTGGGCATACCGGCGACAATGCACAATTCCAGCAAGGCCCATTCCTCTATGGACCCAAGCGAGCCTTCTTCGCTGAGAGAGCTCACCGAGCTGTGTCGTGAAGGCGCCACATTCGACTTCGTTGTTCCTCGACATATCTCTTCGTCGTCGTTGTCCGTTCCATTAGAAATAGGGGATCTACAATTGGGTACTTGAGAACGCGACGATCCGTTTTCAGTAATACCATGCTCGTGGTCCATCGGAGGCTTTCTACTATAAGATACCAACGGGCTTTTCTCGCATATGTTCATCCCACCGTTTCTTATGGAGCGTCTGATCTCCGACATCTTGGCAGAATGAAATGAGCAAGAAGAAGGTCCACCAATCATGGACGCTGACGCATCGTTATCAGATTTGTAAACTGACTGCGTTTGCACTGTGGCATTCTTGGTCGCGTAATGTTTATTTACATAAGCAGACCCGCTGAGAGCGAGCCTGACTTTATGGTACTGCTCTGGTTGCTTCTTTGAAGAAATCAAGGAAGAGTTTGACGAAGCATTCACTGCCTGAAAATTAAGAAAATGATGAAATCTTTACTCTGATTTCTTGAATCTATTCCAAGCAAATTTGAATTTGATTATGGAGTAAAGATATCACCATTACCTTTGGTATTCCAGATTTAATACATTGAGCCAACATGATGTCCTCTTCTTCCTCCGAGAGACTCAAGTTGTCTTCAAACGTTACCGGTGTCTTGGATTGATGTTTAGTTTGGTTTATGTACTCACGCTGCCTGTACGTTGTGGAAGACAGCTTTCTCGGGATGCTCGCTTTTGCTTTCTCTCCAACAGATGGTAACTGTTGTCCTATTAATGTGGAAATGTTCGATCTGACCTAAAATCAGTACACGATCTGATTAAGATATATCCTAATTCTAATTTATTGATAATAAAAAAAAAAGAAACAAACTTTAGGCATGGCTGATCTAATGCACTCGCTCAAGATCGCTTCATCGTCAGAATGATTGGGGCTTTCATCTGAGAGGTCATTGTCACGCTCCAGAGTCGCTTGGCACAAAGATTTGCCAATAGGGTTCTTGTTACCAGTTTCCACTGGAGATGACGATGGTGTACCGCATATATTGAATCTCTGTATTAATGTCTCTGCCTTTTGAGCGAAAGACATGGAATTGGTTGGCGGTGGTGTAATTTGCCGTACCTAGGAGTTAGGAAATACACATCCAATAGAGCGTAACTTCAGAAGTAATCAATAAACATTTATTGGAGCACCGTTGTTAGAGAATTAGGACAACTACCTTTGGTATTCCTGACTGAATACACTCGTCAAGCATCTTCTCATCTTCCCCAGAGAGATTAGAACTTTCATCAGAGAGATCATTTCTATGACACTCAACTTCATTGGAGAGCTTATCTTCCTCGATTCTCTCAACATCTTCTTGGACACTTGGCATAGACAATGCAGAAAGGTTTGACTGCGAACCTACAGGGGAGATATCCGCTGGTGTATCTTCTGTACAGTAAACGTGCACAGTATCAGGTGAAGCAACCACTTCAATAGTGTTTTTATTTGCTTTGGCAGTCGCGACTGCGGAGTCTACGTTGGTAACAGGAACTCGAGGTTCCGGTCTGTTTATAACAGCAGTTCTCTGGCAGCGTGCAAGCATGTTCGATGATTCAGATTGTATAGATTTTTGGGCAGTAGACGTTTTGAAAGATTGTCTGTACCTGTAACATATTTGGTATTAAAGACCAAAGACTATTATGCCATAAATAATACTTTTAATATGATACTACCTATTGTTTTGTATGCCCATACTGATACATGCAGCCAGCATATCTTCATCATCTTCGTCGCCATCGCTGACTTGCTCTTGATCCTTTTCTACTTCTACAGTAACAATCTTTTCTTTAGACAAATCTTCTTTTGGACTATTATTAATGTCGCTCGTGGCTTCCTTTATTTCTGATAATACTTTAGTATTGTTGGGAATCTTGACCTCATCATCAATAGTAAGGGAACTGAGACTGGTAGCTGTAGAGAATTCAATCGGCGTTGACTCTTCTTTGAAAGTAGCAATGTCATCTTCAAAGACACTTGTACGTGGAACATGACACTTTGAGTATGCTGAAAAGAACTTTTGTTTAGCGAGCTATATAAAACGATTGGATGTTAAGTACCACACAAACTAAAATCCATATAACATATAATATTTGTTATTTTGCCAACTACTATTCCTTTTACTGACAATCAATAACATTGCATACATAAATGTCGAACGGACGGTCTTACTGCTTCTTCGGGTATTTTGCTTATGAAATCCGTACACTGACTCTTATGATTGCGCGGACTAGGAGGAATAGTTTGTGTTGGTGAGTCTGGCAATTCACTTGGAGAAACAACGCCGCTAGTCCGACGACTGTTGGAAACAACAACTTTTAATTTCCATATAACGAAATCAATCAAAATTGTAAAATAATGTATTACCTAAAGTCACTGATAATAGAGCTGCGATCGTCGTGAATGGAATGCTGTTCGAAACCACTCAAAGACCCAAGAGAACTACAGCGTGAAAACATTAGAGGCGTTTGTTCTGCATAAAAATCCTGTCTACTAAAGGTCACCATTTTTCCTAAAACAAACAATGTGTTTCAGTATATTACATAAAAGATATTAAATGACAAATAATTTAACACACCTTCTTTATCCACAACTCTAGAATTACTTTTCCCTTCTGTTGTGCTGTCAGATTCATTAGATATACGTAATTCATTAACTGCTATAGTAGCTCCATTGCGATCTATCCTCTCAGATCTACCATCAATTTTATCCGAAGAACTCATTGAGTTTATCTTTGGAATAATTCCAGAAACATTATTCCTTTGTGTTATTGCACTATTAAGAGAACTGGGAGAGTTAGCACGAGAGAAACCATTTGATGTCCCAGCAGGATAATAATCATGCAACTTTTCAGGGGAAAGATTAGGCTTTCGTGTTCTAGATCCTTCAGAGGATTCTAATTCTTTCTCACGTAGATGCGATTGATTTTCATTACAGTTAAGAGAAAGATTATGCTCAAAAGATAAATCCCCTTTACCATCATTATCTAAGACCTTTTTATTAAGCTTCTTTTGAGAGTCTACAGGTTCCTTAGAGTCCTCTAGTCGGAGATCAGACATAGAAGTTGCAGTTGAAAAATTAAAAGGTGTTTCATACGGAGTTCCTTCAGTACAATATGTCTTAACTGTGTCCTCTTGTACACTACCTGGAAAATACTCGGGGCTTTGTTTCTCATCATCATCCGTGTCATCTTCAGCATATCTCAGACTATAGTCTGTAGGTTGATCTAGGTCAGTTTCAGCATAATCTCCAAACAGATCTACCTTGGAATTACGCTCCCCGTATTCCTTTTTACAGGATCGTCCGTCTCGAGAAGAACTCTCGATCGAGTGATCGTGAACAGCAGATTTCCTCTCAGTGTACTTTTTACTGTAATCTACCAACTGTTCCGTTGCATCCTCCTCATACCTCCGCCCGGTACATTTCTCCATACCGATTACGCTTTTGTTGACTGATCTTAAGATCGTCACTTCGTTTTGAAGTGTCCTTTCCGTTTTTTAGTCACGGACTGGTACCAATCGATGCGGAAAAAAACAGGCACAACAATGTACGAGTATCTCCCTTTCAAACAGGTTAATAATCAATTAAAGACATCCTTGGCGACCCTCGCGTCAACAGTAGTTATCTCGCTTGGTGGTGAACAGAGGTTGACCGCAGCGTCGACATCCTGCCGCACTAACCACACCAGTTGGAGCAATTCTGATTCCCGAGTTTGCCATCAGATGGCTACCAACCGCAGTCAACGACTCGATTCTCGCAAGTTCTTGAACGATAGCCGATTTGTGAAAAACTTGAATTATAGTAGCATTAAAAATTATAATTGTATTATGTTATATTTATTGTACAAACAAATTCTGAGCAGGATAAGCTGCTGAATTGAAAAAATTGTAATTTATTTAGTTATCATAAAAATAAGTAGGTAGTGCCATCTAATTGACGAAATTAGAATTAACTGGCTAAAATTTGAGCATTTCGCCACTATATGACACCACTTTCAGATTTTAAGCAGTATACTATCTGCTTGTATCCGTTTGATACAACCAAAATTGTCTGAATATAATTTAATACGTTTATAATTACATTATAAATATAGTATATAATTTATAATGTAAGATAATATGCAAATCAAATTAACATTATTTATCGATTATTTCATGGTTTCGACAAAAAACAAGCTACAGTTATTTGTAAAGTAAAATGTTAAAGACATTCCATTCGTTTATTAATACTTCTGAGTCTGATAAATTGGAATTTGGAGAATATACTTCACAAACATTGTAAAAGTCACAGGCTTATTTTATTTATTCTTCTCATATCATTATGTTCCTCATAGATAGGTTATCCTCGTCCTCTTCCTGCTTGAGATCCCCCTGGTTGATTTTGTTGATTGAGCCAAGGAGCTGAGCCTGTACCTCTACCTCTTTGGTTTTGTCCTCTACCTCCTCTGCCACGAGCTGAACAAAGTATCAACATTATTAGAAATGAAACCACAATGTCTTTGAAAATAAGACTTCAGGAAACAATTTTATAAGAAAAAGGTTAATATAGAATTATTAGAATTATATTTAATAAAGTTTCTTGAATATAAACCTTGAGCACGCAAAATAGCAGATTTTCCTCTGCCTGCGGTTCCGGAGCCTTTGCCGCCCGGTCTTTTGAACATCGGTGCATTCTTCAGCATATCTGGCAATATGAGAAATCTCATTTTCGATCCTCTAATATAAACATTTTCTAGCTGCGCCTCACGTCCGTCCCTATAAGTTACCGTGATATTTTGCATCTGACAGTTCATATTATCCTCGGCTTCAATCAATTTGCCCCGATACACCTCGCCCGTGTTTGTTTCACAGGTTATGGTGTGACCCTCCGCTTCATGGAGTACTTTTATTGGTACTCCGATCGACATTGCGGTGATTTCTGATTGATTCGTAGATCCTCGCAAACGAAATTTTGCTCGATTGAGTCGAGATCTGCTCTTTCACCGACAGAAATGCTTCAATATCAAATTCTTACGTACGCACTTTAACCTCGCTTTTCCCGTGGCTCCAAACGTTTACAACAACGTTCCCTTGCGACTAGCACTTAACGAAGTGGAGGGGATGCGTCCCACAGCTCACGTGAGCAAATTCAATTTCAAAGAAAGAAAAGCGCGCCAATAAACGACAATCGCTTTGCCCACCGAGTGATTAGATGATAATTCAACTCGACTGACACAGAAAGTATTCTTTCATTGGAAATAACCATTTATTTATTGGCTGTCGAACGGAAAGTAAGTCGAAATGCTTTCCCAAGTGAGACTCGTTTACAAATCATTAAGAGAACTACGTACCGGTCACAGCTTCTTCTAGGGCGATAAATTTATATATATTTTCTCTTTAAATATACATAAATATAGTCCACTATAGTTATAAACGTTAAGAACCATCAGCAGAAATGTCTGTTACGATCAGATAAGAGATTTATAGCAGCTCGTCAAGAAGATGCCATTGAAAAATAAAAAATATATATAAGGAGCCAAGAGATTAGAGGGGGTGGGGCGGAGAAGGGATGTAGAAATACATACAGTAAAGAGTTCTCGTAAAGCTATATCCGAACCTAAAGTGCTTAAAGCGTTTCAAAAATTGTTAAATCGT